ATAGGTGTTTGCCAGTTTCCACTTTATATACTTGTGTTCGTTTATTATTTTACAGTTGTTTTAAATATTATACTAGGACGTCTATGATGTCAGCAGAACATAAGAGCCAGGTGTGACAATATCCACAAATTTCGACGTCGTTCTCTATTCAGTTTCTTCCTACGTCACGACCACTACAGCTATACTCAAGGTGAATTTAACTTCTAACGAATTGTATACAACTGACATAAGGTCATCAGACACAGCAAAACAAACTTAATGGCTTACATGAACATTCGTCTACTCCAGTTAGTTGACTTTAAAAGATCTCGTCTTCGATCGATGGCGTCCACGACCATTTTACTCGTATTATTTTTACTTTTCGTGTTCTACAAGCGGCACAATGTTCGATACCATAGTTCCAAGTATGCGAACTCAGGGTCTAAGATAAGTCTACCAACTATAACTGATTCGAAACACTCGCAACTCAATGGAACAAAACTTATTTATAGGGAGAAGTCATGTTTCAATGAAACAAATAACTCAACAGATGTTTTTATCAATGTTGCACGAAAGTCTGTGAGCTATTGGGAAAGAAACGACATTGTTTTAATTATCCATTTCAACCATGACTACGACTATCACCACATTAGTGTTCTTGCAACGTATCGAAACATGTTTCCACTAGTTATTTTTACTGGCCCAGCTCCACATCCACAAGTGGTTCATTGTCCTGAGGGAAATAACGGCCATCAAGCGTACAATTGTCTCACGCGAGTAATCGTCCGATGTCCCGATCACGCAGGCTATCTGATGTCTCATTTTGATTTATTGCCAATCTTCTATAACCTTGAGAAACTCAACTTGGAAAGTGTTTGGCTTCCGGAAATAACTTTAACTGAGGAGACAAATGCTATTGGTTGGCATTGGGATTTAACCATCGGAAAAGCAGCATTTCTTTCATTCATGTCTGAGCTCAAAGAACTCAGTCACAATAACAGTCGATATTCAAAGTATTTGACCAATTATCAAAGTAGTTCACAAACTAAGCTACCATCATCCTTCTCCGATATATTCTATCTTCCCCAGCGTATGATTGCAGATTGGCTGGTAGTGGAAGAACTCATATTTAAACATCAAATATTTCTCGAAATCGGCTTGCCACTTGCTACACAGTTGTTCTGTCCTTCTAAGAATGACTTAGTTGTACTCCGTGGTGAAAACTGGAATAATTTGAGTCCCAACGACACAATAAACATCGATCCTCAAATCAACTATTATCATCGTATCGATCATACGTCGTCTTCACATCAAGAATTTATAGAAGTTGTTCTCAACAGATCTATTTTGTCGTCAAGTTCTTAGTGATGAAAACACCATCGAGTAAATTTCATAATAAATTAGTACCATAATCGAGTTTTTTTTATTGGTCCGTCTCTAAGACTAAAAATGTTTACTATAACAAAGAAGCGTTGCAATTGATAAAGTTTTTCCTTACTAGCACCTATCTAAACTTGTTAGGCTGGACCAGACTAGCCTGTAGACCAGTATGAGTCATTGTTTTTTTTTTATTATTTTTTAACAGTCAAATTAATCTCCCGAATAGTCATACCTATCTATGAATCACTATAGAAGTTACATAAGGCTTCTGTTTTATTGTTAGAGCAGTTTTGTGAAACCTGGTTGTCGATGAATATTGAAGTATATGGCAAAAAAAAATGATCCATCGCTCGCAGCTTGCTCCGTAGATTGTGACGAACATGTCGATGTTCTTTTAAGCTACTCACAGAGATTTTGATATGTCTGTAACAGCTTAGCGAGTTTTTCGATATGCTAGCTTTCCATCTCACTATGGTCTGTTACATAGATAACGAGGTTTCCTCCAGGGGAAAACAGCGTCAATTCTGTACTTGAGAGTATGGGTGTGTCTAACAAGAAGATGCACACCCATATCGGCACTCGCTCACACCCACAATCAAACCTTCGATGCTTCTAGGATTAGAAAATGAAGATGAAGATTGAGGGTCTCCAATCTTTTATGCAGCACATACATTGTTGAAGTATGATAATTTAGAGCAATATATGTTTGGTTATTTTTGTTTTTCTATGTAGAAACGTGAGTTTGACATTGCTATCGTTTTAAATTACCTTATTCAGTTTGATAAGAGCACCATCGTCAAAGGCAAAATATTTTCAATAACCTACAGCCACCAATCCACCTATACCTACACTTGCACTATGACATTGGTCTTCCTGTCATCTTGTGACGAAAATACAGAAAAACTCTTTTTTTGTTTCTGTTGAATGTTTTACTTATTTTCATGTTCGGATTAGCGCGATCGAACAAATGAAAATGATGCTTGTTGTCTAGGAGCGTCGATATACAGTCAAGAGCAGAAAGATTATAGTTTTCTCTTCGATGATGTCCACAATTTGATGACAAAATTGTTCTGAATGCCAAATCTCATATCAAACTGTGATTCTAGCGGATCTACTTGTTCACTCCATATAGATTCTTGTACTCTAAGGCAATCTATTCTTGTAAGAATTGATGTTGACTAGCTCGATAAGCTTTTGCTAAGGATAGTCGATTATTTGCTGTTTCGCACCAGACGAATTTGGGTATCACGTTTTGGGTGTGAGTGTAGATGCAGGTAATTCTGTTTTGTAGCAAACACCCATACCCACACTAATTTTCCCATTTCACCTATATTTTATCGAAAAAGTAGGAAACTGTTCGAAAACTTGTATTGTTATAGTTATTAATGTACTTTTAATCTGGTTTTTTCAAGAAAAACAATATTTGGTTCTAAATTAAAACCGAATCTCACACGTCCTTCGAATATTTACCAGTAAATATACTCTTAGACCTTCAGTCCTTATAAAATTAAACATATACTAAACCTCGACGGCTCCAGAAACACTGGCATAGAGAACCGAATCGAACCAAAATTTTTCAGTTCCTGCTACTTAAAATTGGAATGAGAGCCGTGAAGTAATATAGCATAAAGCCAAAACTGAAACTGAAACTTTTACTAGCAACCGAAAGACTGCTTACCTGTTTCAGATTTTTAATTCGGACACATCAATCTATAATTCCACTCACATTCCATTTCATCGATAGAGTTAGCGTCTTTCTTGTATTGGATGAAATGAAATATTAAGAATGTTCAAATGACTGTCGAAGTAGTATATCATTAGTTTGTACAAGGTTTTATATGTTATGATTGCTGTGCAACTTCGTCACAAGCAGTTATTTCATCCATTCAGTATAGTCAATTTAAATATCAATATAGAAAGACGAACATATAAATTATTTACATGTATTTATAAAAGAATCAAACAAACGTGTTTCGCCACTATGGTCTTTTTAGGCGTCTTTTGTGTTGGTAACACTGGCATATAGAATAAGCATCTCTACCAAAATGAATGCTTCTACATCACAGAAAGAAAAAACTGTTCTATTAAATCAAGATCATGATCCGTCAATTCGTCTGTCTTTTTCTTTTATTTTCAGAAAAATCGTTTTTTCAGAGAAAAAATAGCGTGAGCTTCTTGAAAAAGAGAAGACGAATGTTTTTAAGTATACTGATAAAGTTATTTAGTAAACCATGATTGAAATTGAAACCATGGTTATGTTCAGATCTTTGGTATTCCTAGGAAGGTCAGACATCCGCTGGCCATTCCTACTAACTCTGCTAAAAAATCTTGAGTGGCATAGGTAACATAGCTAGACTTTGGAGTAGAAACAATGCATACCTATATTCGTTCTGTTTTCCATAGAAATTCCTTTATTTTGGAAAAGTTCAATCCTTTAAGAATTTTTATTTTTTTAAAAACTCTCAATTGGAGGTCAGGTATTACTATATTGGTCCAAATAATATCTTTGAAAGAAAATTGAGAACAAAATCGAAATAGTAAACTTTAAAATATTAGACAATCGTTTCTCTAAAAATTGAATTTGAGTCCAGCAGTATTTTGCTTGATTAAACAGAGAAATGATTTATCTCTCACACAAGTAACGAACTACTGTCGATAGTTCAAACGGATGTAAGGCTTGGAAAGCTTTTTAGAACTCAAAGCTGTCGAGTTCTACTCGAAATATCATTATTATTCAACACTTGATGAAAACTTCAGCATAACAAATTGACGGTTATTTATTGTGTAGATTTTTAAGTTTTTGATAGTTAATCGAATAAAATAAATTAAGAATCTGAACTTTCGTCAATCAACTTAATTCGTTTACGTTGAATATTGATTTCAGTTGATTGAATATTTTTCTTTCCAAGCCAAATAATAATCGTTCCATAACCTTCCCAATATGTCGAGTTAATAGTATTGTTTTCAAACCATTCGATAACTTTTTCCGATAATTCCAAATGTTGGATGTTAAATTCAACTATTGATAGGTGTTGACATTGTTCCATAATCATTTTTATTTCATCGATATCATCTATTGGTATATCCAAATGTTTGACATGAGATGGAATAATTAAATGTATATTTTCTACAGGTGAAATTGGACTGTAATTGTAGGTGCTAGGCGGAACAATAATCAGGGAGGTAAGTCTGTGTGCGGCTTCCAGAAAAATTTTAATGTCGTTTAAAAAACTTTGATTATATTCGGTTAAATGGTATATATTCAATCTAATTTGAACGATTTGTGAAACATTGATGAACATTGGAAGTGACTGGGCCAAAATTATAGACGAACTTTCCCCGAAATTAATATCGATCTGAGTCACTTTGGGAAACACAAGATGATTTGTTATATCTTCCTAAAAACAATCAAATATAAATACAGTTTCGCTTAAAATAACAGGAAGAAATTTTCAAATTCTTAATGCTGTTTTTATTAGTAGACTATATTATACAAAATCGTCATAATATAAATTGATTTTAATTTGTTAATATTATTATTCTCGATCATTGTTTAAAATCCTAATACTGTACATACTTCAACGATTTTTAAAAAAATGAAAGAAAAAAAAACAGTTTCTGTATCTATCTAAATGAAGAATTCAAGTTGAATAACATACTTTCTCTTCTGTATGATCATCAACGGATTGTGTTAAACCAAAATAAACCAAATTGATATTATCCATTACTGATACGTCTTGGTCTATGGTCATATGATAAGTAGATGAAAAAATTTTTTTCGAGTTCAATGTATAAAATACAGAAGATTTAAATATCGGTATAGAATAAAGACGAATGTTAAATGAATATTTCATATCACATTCACATATAACAAAACATTTTTTGTATTCAATCCAAAATGGTGTTCGAAATGAAGCAATAGTTAACTCAAGATCTGTTTTAGTTTGTTTTGTTAATCTCCATTCATTGAAATAAAATTCAAATTTTTCTAATTCAGGTAGATTTATTTTAATAAATTCTTCCCATCGTTCTCCATCAATTAATCTTTTTCCATCAAGTCTATTTTGTCCATCAATCAATTTTAGATGAATAAGTGATGGCGTCAATAAAAGAAATGATTCGAGTTGATCAATAGTTACGTCAATCTCGTCAATAATTAATGATGTTAATTGTCGAAAATTTATTGCAAGATGATTTGCTAAAGTTAAATTATTGGTTATGTATTGAGAAGTCTTCTTCATGACAAGTGTATGTAAATCAGGAGAGCATTGAGAAATTTTACAAAGGTTATCCATAGTTATCCTGTCGTTTATTGTCAAATATTCAATTGTGCAAATTGATGGCCATGAAATTTCCAACATTCTTTCAGCACTTATATCAAGTTTTAGTTTACGAAGAGTTGATTGTGCTATTATCGATGAGAGACGAGACGTAGTGGCATTTTTGTATCTCGCATCATATATTCGAATATTACAGGATAATGAAGTTAGTGTATTACAATTGATTCGTTTTAGAATAAAGTTTAATTGAAATTCATCGATGTTAATAAATATTAAAGAATGAAGTCGAGCAAATTCTTGAAGACGAACAAGTGAAAGAAATAAATCTAACTGACCTAACGTTTGTTGATTGTTGAAAAATATTATCGAAATAACATTTTTTGGAGAAATTAGCCGACAAAGAAGATAAAAATTTGTCTTTGAAATTAATTTTAAGTCAAAAACATATCGATCGTAATTATCAACAACTAATCGAAATAATCTTGAGACTGGTCGAATTGAAAGAAGAATTGTTTCTGCATCAAGATTATCAAAAATTCTATGAAGTAGTTCTACTGGTAATGTTTTCATTGATGAAATCGTATTATTTAACATTGAACATACGATGATATTCTATGTTGGAAAGTTTCGTCGAAATTTGTTTCGCAATCATATAAGTAATAATGGATGTTTGTGTCAACAGTCTTTTTCACATGTCCGATACACGAAAAACAGAATAGAAATAGATCTGATTGCTTTTCTTTTGTCCAATCATGTCATGTCATTTGAGATGTCGTTTTTTTTGTCAAGTCTTTAAAAGAGTCTTCATGAAAACATCGAGGATTATGCCAGATATCAAAGCAAACGTTAAAATTTAAGCTTTTGATTTCATATTCTCATTTTGTTCAGCATCATTCAAAGCTTCTAAATCCAAATTTGTAGCGCATTTGGTCAAATTGGTGAAAAGTTAGATCGATTTTATTGACGAACACTCATGAGGATATGTGAAGAACATGATCGAAAATAGTTTCCTATAAACTTGACCTTTTTAAGATAACAAAGAATCAGCAAAGTTTTTTATGTGATATATCAAAAAATACAGCGTCAAAAAGCTGAACAAAACTGGCTATTTACACATTATCTTTCAATGAACAGATCCAGAGTTATTTATAAAATACTGTCTATGAGTGACCATTCTTTCACCTCAAAAATATCAATTTTTTTCAGTATATCAGCTGTTATTCATTCACTATTAAGGACTCTCAGACTGAATTTCACAGATGATGTACCGTTTTTTTTTCTTTTATAAAATGATAAAAAAAAAGGTTTATAAAAACTTTCTGATAGTTTTGAAAACTGCCTTTAATGTTAAACAGCTAGACACCATTTATGATGAACAATTATTACAAATAACCCTCGTCCGTTTGACTCCCTTGACTGAATATTCGGCTCTTTTGGTGTTATATACTGCTTTACAGTGTTCAACAGAACTAGTATCCAACGTTTCGAAAGGGTGGATAGGTGTGTGCACCTTGATATTAGCGTCAATCTTGTTGTGCACAATGGTATGCGGATCCGTATGATAATTTTTGTCATAAATTCATCAGATCAAATTGATACCCGCTAGGCATGGACCGAACCCGAACTCGAGTTCGGGTTCGGGTTCGGTTTTAGGGTTCGGTGTCAGAATTGGGGTTCAGTGTTAGGATTCGGTGCAAGGATTCGGGTTTGGGTTGAGATTCCTGTATTAGGAGTGTGAATTCATTGTTGTTATTATTAATAACAATATCTTTCTTTGTTATTTGTTATAAATAACAAGTAAATAACAAATAACATTTTTTTTGTGAAGAACCTTCAACTATGGGTGGACAGTTATCGTCACGTTTCCGGTAGGGGTTTCAGTTTCGGGTTCCGTTCCTAGGAACCCGGAACCCATCCCGGGTTCTCGTTTCTTGGAATCCAGAACCCACCCCAGGTTCCCATTCCTGGGATCCAGAAACTCCCCCAGGTTCCCATTCCTGTGAACCCAAAATCCACTCGGGGTTCCCGTTCCTAGGAACCCGAAACACACCCAGAATTCCGACTGCTGGGAACCTGCGTGTGGATTGCCGTTCTCGGAAACCTGGAATCAAATATAGATTCTCGTTTCTAGGAACCTGAAACTAGGGGTGACACTTTGACTATACGGTGTGGGTGTGGGTGGGTGTGGAATGTGGGTTTGGAGTGTGGGTGTGGGTGTG